ATGTGCCCCATATTAAACCAACCTTCTTTTTTTTTTAGTTTTAAAATAATAATAATAATAACAGCACACTAATCAGTCACTTTGCCACTTCTAAACACTTCAAAAATGACATAACGCAAATCCCTTTTACTAAGGCTAATACATATAGGTCTACGATGCAATCAGCTGCTGGGTCATTATTATTTTTTTGAACGAAATAACCCCACAATGTTTCTTGGTCTCTGTCATTTACTCCGATAAGACGTTTGAATGAGTGGATGGGAAACGGTCTTGTATAATTCCTGCATCACATTAAACTGCATTTATGACACAGAACTGAACAGATGCAGATATCATTACAATCTATCAATAAACGCACACACCGTGTCCAGATTTTAGAGGAGAAAAACACATTTTGAGATAAAAAAAGTAACTTTTTTATACTACATTTATTTTTGTAATGGCAATTCCTGCTTTGTAGTTAAACTAATCAAAGTTAAATTGTTTATTGTGTGTCTGTGTAGATATTTTTCATGCAAATGCTAATGTTTTGGCTGTTAGCTGTAAGGTGAGCTAGTTCATGGCTACTAGACTTTTGGGTTAGTTGTAACATCAATTAAACATTTTTGTTTTATTTATGTTTTCTTTGAATTTCAGTAGGTCAGTCCTGGAAGAGAAAGACAAACCGAGGGGTGTCTAAATGTTCAAGTTCAGTTTTATTATGGCCAATTTACTATGTCTGACATTAACAAACATGCTTAAACACACACATGCACGTTATTCAGTTTTATTATCATGATGCTAATGCAACACACACAAACACACCAATTATATTGAAAAGTCAATGTTGAATAAAAAGCTTTCAAAATCCTTTTTTTTTTTGGTCATAATCCTTGTTACACAATGTAAAATCTCACCCCAGGGTATTTTTACATAATATATGAGTGTGTGTTTTGTATATTTATTATGTATATATATAAATACACACACATGCATGTATATATTTAAGAAAAATATGTTATGTTTATAATTAAATATATTTATATATGATATATATTGTAAATATATACATGTAAATATTTTCAATATATATACTGAATGTGTCTTTATCTATACATAATAAATATACACAACACACACACATATTATGTAAACAAAAACTTTTATTTCGGATGCGATTAATCGTTTGA